ATAAGTTCTCTTTTTCAGTATGTAAACTCACGAGATTTCGATTTCACTGTACCATCAATCATGTATATCCCCTAAAAGTTTAACTCAACATAATGTCACAGGAATTCCAAATACATTCAAAACCTCAAGTATAAGATTAGCTGTGGTTATAGTTGATTATTTTGAAGTAGGCCATTATGAATGAACCTTGTTAAACTGTAAGATATTAACTAGAAACATTGAATTAGATCTATATCTTACACTGGCAATCGTTTATATTGTTTTGTAAGCTATAAAACTCTTAGGATATAGGCAAACAAATATGTATTTCATTTTCCACTTTATACAGATATGCCATCAACTCAAAATACAGTCGCTGAACGGGATCCGCGCTACTGTCGCCAGTGGAAGTGTCAAGTTTCTGTGGGTGAATTATATCGATGGATTTTAGCGAAACTTTCTGATAAAGATATCAAGCGGGCCCTGCACAAATACCGAGACCTAATGCCTAGACAGTCGGATTGGAACAGAAAACTGACACAAGCTACGAGTATGCCAGAGCTTGGTTTTCGATATCTGTATCGATGTGGACAGATAGACGAAAGTAACCATCGAACTATGCAGAAAATGCTAAAATATATCGATCGTCAAGATGTGCTGCCATATTTTGATACAATTTTGTATAATACCAACCATTCTAATTGTTCTTTGGAGGAGCTACAAAAAGGTAATGTTACCTTCGTCTTAACTAATCCCAATTTTAGTTCTGTTGGATAAAGTTAGCGTGTTTTTAGAATATTCTTCTACACTGTCTGAAGAAGAAGTACATCCAGAGCCTCCATATGAAATAATACGACGCCAGCCAGTTGAGGGTTCACGAGTCACAAGGTACGTATCTCTCATCAGTTTGCTTCAATAAGGTCAGTATGTGGTTCAAAAACACGTGGTCCTACTCGTACTATTTCCGTAACCTGTTTAAGTGTATTTATTAGCTTTCAACAAACAAAATCGTTTTTTAATCGAGCTAATAAATTTTTTCATCAGTATTAATACTCTAAGCCCTAAGGAAATTTGCATTACTTTATCCATGATAACTTTTGTTATTAATAACGGGCCGCTGTGACAAGGGTTAAAGTCCCCTGTCCTTATTTCTTAGAAATCTCCCCACCACTAGATCGACTGTAGTTGACAACTTAGATGGAACCAGGTTATATTCTTTATAAGTGGTATATCCAGTGATTTATTATTTCTGTCGTAATTCAGTTATCTCTTATGTGATTTCTCATCCTGAGTTTTTGTGTTCTATCTTTTTATCGAATAAATTTTATTCTAAAGATTAAGCCTGAAAAGAAAATCATCTGTTGGTGGTACTGGTAATATTGCATCTGTGAAGCGAGGGCGCCGGTCTACTAATTCCTCATCGGAGACTGGTCAAGTTAGTGATTTCGAAAATTCACCTCTCCGGTACTGTGGCAAAGTGCGATCAGCGATTATTTCCAATTCACTAAATGGTCCTGTTGTGCATACGATGCTTTCCGCGTCACTTATTAGCATGCTGGCATCTTTACATACTACATTATCTCAAACATTCGATAATCCCGGTGTATCGTCTATAACCCCTAATGCATCGAATAGTAATACAACTGGAAGTTGTATTAGTAGTTCAAATCCTTCTGTTCCTAAGAATCCTTTAATCTCTCATTTACTGGCTATTATCCCACATTTAATTGCTGTTTCACGTGCTGCAAATCAGTTATCTAATCCAAGTCTACTATCTAATCCAGCACTACCCTCTCGAATATCGAATCTTCCAAATAATGTAAATAATAGCAATTCAGGGATTTTTGGTTCAAGATTTGCTGGTATTCATAACAGACCGGTAATCAATGCGGATAGACGGCTGCCTCAACAGGTTCAAGATCACGTAGATCCTGCTGCTCCGGTTGTTTTAGATAATTTAAACCACGAGCAGAACGTTCAAGATCCAATCCACCCTATCATACCTGGTATTCGTGCACCACTCATCAACCCTCCTAACGTGGAAGCAGACCGTCCGGGTGGACTGTTGTTTGCACCTCAACCTAATATTCGACTTGCAGACGGTGGATCACCTCATGTAGTCTCTCAACATTCGACAAATCCCCCTGTTTTATTAAAGCATGTTGTTTTGTCAAGCGGAGGAATAGGTATTACTGCTTCGCCACATGATTCAGTAATCCATTATTATTGCAATATTAAACTGCATGTCAATATTGATTTTGGTCCTTCTACAGAAAGTTTAGTGAGTTTCCCGTCGCTTAACGTAATTCTCAATAATTTGTACGTTTTTTAAAGTTATTTAGATGTTATTAAATTTATTACCTCAGAAAAATTCACTCACTAAGAGATATTTTTAATTCGGACACTGATATCAGACAGTCAGTCACAACGTTGAACCTGGTACAAATGTACATCGGTTTAAGTTGCCGTACACCATCAACCCAAAGAGATCAAATTGTCAGGTCAAATCCCCGAATATTAGAGGTAGTAACAGTATCCATGGTAAAAGGAAAAAAATACTCATAGAAAATACTAGTCGAGAAGTTGTAAATTAGTGAAATGAAACCAAAAAAATATTATGAGGAGTCCACAAGCTCAGGATTTAGGAAAACGCAAAGAACAAATACACTTGCGTCATTACAAACGACCTTGAGCCATTTCATTTAGATTCTCTAACCATTGGTTATGATAATCACGTGAACCCAAAGCAGGTGGTCCACACCTATTAACATGGTTCGGTCTAACTCTCGATGACTTGATGAGCCAGTCAGTCAGCTACAACGTAGGACCAGGCACATATATGCATCGGTCCAAGTTGCCATACCTCCTTAACACAACAAGATGGACACCGGATTCATAAAAGTAGTTAATTCAGAGGTGGTAATATATAAAAGAAAGATTGCAATAAGGATATAGTACAGAAAGAAAGAATTAGTTCACAGAAAGAAAGATATGAAGCGATTTTAATCTCATAGATTAAGGGAAGACAGAGAGTGTATACACCGACGCCATTGTGATCGATTCTGAGCCATGTCACCAAGAGTCTCCAACCATTGGTTACGATAGTCACGCGGACCCCAACCAAGTAGTCTGCATCTACCAACATGGCTCAGACTAGAAGCTAGTGACTTCAAGCTCTGATGCCACGTTTTGGTTTGGCCGCCCCTAACTTTCTTCCAACCATCCCGAGCACCGGTTAGCATTGCACGTCGTGGTAATCGGCGTTCGAGCATACGTAACACGTGGCCCAACCATCTCAGTCGATGAAGATTCACAACCTCATCAACTGATTTACCATCATTCCCTAATACCCTGTGTCTAACCTCACTATTACTTACCCGGTGATCCCAGCAGACGCCAGCAATATTTCTAAGGCAGCTGTGGTCAAATACTAGTAGCTTACGAGTGAACTGTCATGTTTTAATTTGGCCACACTTAGCCTTCTCCCAGCCTATTTTTGCACCAGACAACATCACCAGTCGAGGTTGGCCATGTATAACACTTCACCCAACCACCTCAGTTGGTGACGAGATGCCACATGTTTTTTGAATGATCATTTACTGTAAAATCATGAATTTTAAAGTTTACCAGTTTTTTGACAATTCATTTTTGAAGCAATGAATAATCCAAGGGGCTTTCTTACATTTAAAGTTTTCAGAAGCCACTATCTTTACCGAGGAAAGTAGGCTAAAATGTAAAGTTGAAGATTATAATTACTTTCAAACTTTTTAGTAGCTTATATTGTACTTTTATTTGTCAATAAAACAAGCGTTGGGTTTCGAAGTTACAGTTTGTGATTTACGTTTTGTATTTCCGACGTATATCATTCCTTACTTTTCCCTTGAAAATTATAAGAAGCCTTGATGATTGGAGCCATCGATTATTGATCTGAGCCATGTTAATAGATGCAGATTACCTGGTTGGTGTTCGCTTAATAACTGCGGTCAGTAGTTGGAAACGTTGGATGACATGACTGAGAATTAGTCATAGTTACGCAGATCCATTCACCATTAATCTTTAAGCCTTGAATCCCTATGTTTCCTCTTTTCATCTTGTCTTCTCGTGTCATGTTCCCTATGCTCAATCTCATCATCGCTACTGAGTCATTTTGATTTATTTGTTAGTCTCACTTCGTAGTGTCTTGATATGGCACATTGGGTCAGTCCACACTTAAGGGAGGGTCTACATTGATTATGACTGACATAGTGATATTGTACCAATTAGTCAGTTAGTTATAAACAACTTAGGACGTGGCATGTATGTGTAGTAAACGAGAACTCAGGTGGGAAAAACAAATTTATTATCCAATGCAATATTACAGAGTTCACGAAATGTGAAAACCATACGTTAAATACATTATTTGCACATCTTCCTTCAGCTGTCGTTTAAATGCTTCATGATTCTTTCAATTCTGTTATTAAAACTGCTCTCTGTATCCCTTCCTATTGTCTTTATTTCAATCTTCTGCTGGCAGACATTCCATATTCGATTGCTGCAACATACTACTTATATCTGTCAGCATAGATAGTATGCACAACATATGTACATCGATTCAAGCTACCAAGCCATATCATTAAACAAGATAAAATTATCAAGATACATACCAAATTAATAGCGGTAGAAACAGTATTGGTAATAGGTGTGACGATGGTTTCACCAGTTTCTCCGATGGTAATGAATTTATTCATGCATTCCCCAGAAACTACTGCGGTCACAAATGTATAAATCCACCAAAAGTCGGGTTACAGTATGTAGATGACATTTTTATTATCGTTAAATGGAGTGGTTTAGAAGAATTGTTTGAAAATGTAAACAAAATTTCGGAGAGCATCAAGTTAACAAAAGGATATAGAGTCCAATGACTATAAACTAGAGTTTCTCGATTGTTTGTTTGAACGAAGATATAATAATAAGTTGAAAATAAAGCTATTCATGAAATCAATACATTCTGAGAGATAATTAGATTACGGTTCGGCTCATGCGTATTGTACAAAAGTCACAGTTGTAAAAATTTAATGAAAAGGAGTATTAATCTCATTACAGATAAGGAAGACCAACAGGTTGAATTGAATGGAGTTTTGTCTGCGCTTAGGGAATAACAATTACCCCAGAGTTCTTAAACAGGAAAGACTGGTCATCCCATACCGTAGTGACACATTGGAAGAAGTCAAAAGAATTCTAAACAAACATGATATAAGAGTGTATTTTCGGGCTAGTGGCACCATAAGATCAGCACTAGTGAAAGTTATGGATAGGTTTCCAAAGGAAGAACAACAGAATGTTCTTTATGAAATCAACTGTCATGATTGCAATGCAGTTTATGTGAGAGAAACGTCAAGACAATTGAACGTGAATTTGAAGAAACACGAACAATGTTTGAAAAATGTTCCCAAATCCTCGGTTGATCTGAAGAAACTTGAGAATAGGTCGGCAATAGCGTTACACGAGTTAGAAACAGGACACAAGATCAATTTTGAAGGGACCAAAATACTTCAGGAAGGTTTTGGGACATATAAAGAAAAATTGACAGCAGAAGCGCTCTATATATGGGCCAATAAGAACAGTCTGAACAGAAAAGATGGTATTCAACTAACTATCACATGGAAAAGGTCCATTAACAAGTAATTGGACACTTTCTCTATCCAAACTGTTTATTTAACATGCATCGTTATTTTGACAGAAATTAATCTGTAATATTTTAGCACTACAATTATATATTTGATGATTCTCATTTTACGTGCACATCAATGATTCAGAAACAATTTCACTTATTTTTACTTCATATAAAAAAATTTGCCACCGAATATCAACTATTAATAACTAAAACTTACACATACATACACAATCAATCATTCATTCATTCATCTTAACATTGTGAACTTTTCATATGATTCATATACAACCGATTCATGTTATCCTACTTACAAAAGGTAACATCTTATTATGGTTGGATAAGCTCAGTAAAGACTTGATTATACACTATATATATATATATATTTCTTTTGCGAGTTTCATTTTGATTATTATCTTGAAGAAATTCCAAGCAAGTTTACTAGGCAAAATGTAATTAGATAAATTTCAATCTCTGAGATTATTATTTCAAATATAATTTTCACATAGAATAAATATTAGTGATAATAGAAAAGATTAAATAATTGTAATTGGTATTTAATTGACTTTTTATTCAAACCATACAATCACTATAAAAGCAAACCATATTTCAGGATTATTAAAGTTTAAAGGGTAGTTTTAAATCATTATAGTTCTTATCAAAAATGAGTAAAATCTTGGTCATCCAAAAGAAGAAAATAAAATCAATTATATATTTTAAATCTCAATAGTTGGAATCATGAGTCAATTGAAGCTAGACCACCATGGAAAACCTGGAAGCACTGGATAGCCATTTCATCCTAGTATGAAACTCCTCAGCAGTTCGCATCCGCGACATTCGAGCCCAGGACCCCGGATCTCGCGGGGGGCGGGATCGTGGATGCATACTGCTGAAGAGTATCATACTAGGACAAAATGGCTGTCCAGTGCTTCCAGGTTTCCCATGGTAGTCTAGCTTCAATTGACTCATGATTTCAACTATTGAAACTACTAAAATCTCCACGAAACCCCTTCTGATATTTTAAATCACTAAATTTCTCTGTAAACAGTAAACAATATTAACTGATCGATTATCGATTGTATAAATTTCATTATTCTGCTTTCTTTCCTTTTTCTTCTTCTGCAATTAGAGAAGAATTCAAACAGTTCGTCAAGATTTTTTTGAACGTCAGATTGATTTTTTTGTACAAGCATCAAATTTATTGAAAACTCGTTCACCAAGTGAATTTATTTGTAATTTACAATTTACACGACTTAACCAACTTGAAGATTTTTGGGCTGACTATCAGTCAGGTGCATTACGATATGTAAGTTTAATCAATTTATTTGTAATTTGGAAATTAAGTTTGCTATAGTGTTGGTTGATATGTTAAGCCCATAATATCTTATTATAGCTTCTGGATAGGCCAATTTATTCATTCTTCTTGAGCCACGTTTTGACCTTGTTAATTATTCACTTATCAACATTGACTGTTTTTATATGAGCGTATATGTGTGTACGTCTTGTCCTACTCACCACATGTAATGTAGCCTATTTTTGTGTGACTATAAATTTTGATTCACACTTAATCAAATGGAGTTGGTTCACACGTCATCTCCACTGCGCGCCATTTCGTTTCGCTCTCTTCTATTTGTTTCGTCCCTCTGATTGTCTGTCCAGACCAATGATTGTACAAAATATATGTATTAGAAATTCATTCTCGTATTTGACTTATTTTAATTCCATTATTCACCAACGCTATTTAAGTCGATAAAGACATACGAGGATAGTCATGATGTATATTTCGACAGCAATCAGATCCCAGGCCACCTAACTGTTTTCTTTTTTCTCTTTATATCATGCCTTATTTAGTATGAGTAGTTATCTCAAAGCTTATTAAAATGCCTACTATTTCTTACTGCTTAACTTCAACTACCCAACATATGAAATAATGTAATCTGATAATTTTATTCAATGTGTTTTTTCTTTTATGTTTAAAAAAAGTATTAGCTTTCTTTATTCAGTCTGAGATATCATCCACCTATATACTTGCAGTAAATAGATCTTTCTAGTAAGCTTGATAAGGTAATAATTCAAAGATATTTTCGAACTAACACAAAAACAAATCGCGTCTTAGGAAGTAGAGACTGCACCAATAATGCGATATAAATGATTGCTTTGTGGATAAACTGATGTTTTTTTTAACTATTCCTACTCCGTTTAACAATGATGGATCAAGGTGGAGAATAGTTGAAGATAAGTAACACCTCAGTCTATGACAATTTACAGCGTAGTCAACCGATTCCTCATAATTGTCTAGTCCTATACGTCGAACCTCAAGATTAATCAATCTGTGAAAAGTGCCTTGAAGGGACATTTGATCTAAAACCGGCAGTTTATCCATATCTTCTCTTTTCATAGGCTATCGATACAACTCAGTTTCTTAAATCGAAGTAGATGAATCAGGGTTTAAAACTGTGACCTACTAGTTAGAAAAAAAAGTTTAGTCCTTCAATCACTAAGTCACCGCTGCACACAGTTCTCTAAATGTTTGATTCAAAGTGTTATAACAATAGATGCTACATATTATTTTGATATTCTTTTCAAATTGATTTCACAAAATAATTCTGCTTATCATGAATGAAAATCTTTCCTATGATATTGTAATATTTCTGTGTTCCTTTGTTATCTCTCTATTTCCTAAATTAAGTATCTCATGTCTGTATTGAGAAGTGAAAGGAATCGAAGTTTTTTTGGTGAACCACCACAACAGATATCTTCCCAGTTTTCGTCAGTTGTCGAACAACATGTTGTGCCTGATGCTTTAGGTCAACAAAATCAGGTTGCAAATGCTGTGAATAATGAAGGAATGGATGCAGCTGTTCCTTTGGTGCCTAATAATGCATCACAAAATTCAGCTGAAAATAATTCTAATGTTATAGTCAGTAGTGGTAGTAGTTCGAGGCCAGTTGATCCAAAAGTGTCTGGTTCCAATTCATCAGAATGTTCTAATCATAATCCTGCATGCTCAACAGTCAATTTGGCTTCATCTTTAAATATGGCACAAGATGAAAACTCACTCAATATGTTGACATCTTGTATTGAAGCACTGAATCGTTCGTTCCATCGTATGAGACGTCGTGAAGTCACTAGTCCATCTCTACCTACAGAACAAGTGAATGAATTTATTAGATTTGAATTGAATTTATTTGTTTCACGTAGAGAATATGAAAATGGCCGATGTTTATTAATGCGTAATTTACGTTCTATACCGAGTTTATGTCAGCTGGTTTCAGCATCTTCAATATTAACACCAGATACTGCTGTTAATTCAGTCAGTATAACACCATGAAATCTCGAGAGAAAAAAACAGAAAAATTCTTATGAAGTCTTTCCCGTTGATGTTTGTATATTATTTGGGAACAATAAAACATTTTATTATTCAGTTCTTCGATATTTTTTGTTCTGTATAGCACTTGTACTTATAATCATTTGTATTTTTTAAATCTGTGTAATATGGAATAAAGCCTACATTGCTTACTTTTTAATCTCAATATTGGCAAACAGCAGTCGATATTTATTTGAAAAGAAATTCAGTCGATCTTTGAAGATATTTATCGTTTGTATTGTTTTCTAAGTAGTTCACAGATCTTCATGAGATCTAATTAATTATGATTATTTTAATATTTTGAAATTGGTTTATTGTAAACTGCACAAAATATATGACTTTATCTTACATTACGTTTTGGAATATACCTGTTTTCAAGTTGAAACTTCTAACTGTTCAGAACAGTTTGATATAGTTATTGAAGCAAGCAAGCTTTCTAATTTAATTGCTTAATTTAACAAGATTTAAGTGATTAGATAAATAGGTGAAACCTCATAATATGTACCGATAGTTTTACTCATACCTATTGGGGTAATCATTTAAGTGATGCTGTTTATGTTGGTCAAGTTAAAATGCTGGACATATGCATGAAGGGAAAAGTGTATTATAGGGATAAGTTAATCGGAGTTGAGAAAGCTACTTTCCAATTTTTGCACGAAATTAAAAAATGAATGATTTTAATTATATTGAAGGTGCGATAGAAATGTCTTTGTGTTGAGAGCGCTCATAATTGTCAGGGAAATTTTCTTATCACAAAGTATGAAAGATAATGTTAAACGTATCAAGTAGTTGCTTTCATATATATAGAATTTACATTTCTAATGAATCAATCAGTTTTCATTTCAATTTATTTTGTTCATTGTAAACTTGCGATAAATTCATTTTGTTAATTGTTCACTGCATATAAACTGGCTGATGGTGTTGGAATATTAAGATAATCAACGATTTTTACACATGAATTCCTCATATCGACAAGGTAAAAACAATGATTCTCCTATGATTTCATCCTAATAACTCTCATCAGTTTATTAATAAAGATTTTGTAGGCGGTAATAAATTTTCTAGAAAACTACTGGAATGAATAAATTTGCCCTCAGATTAATGGTGTTGTGTGGCGACTTACAAAATTAGGATAGGAGAACTGATAACAGTTCTCTCAAAGTCAATAAACTTCTCAAAACCTCTAAACAGGTTTCATTAATTCCATTGCGAAATACCTTTGATTTATAGAGACTCACTGGCTGATTAGTAGGTTCGAAATCATGCGATTTAAGAATCTCTCAATCTCTTTCCAATATTATACTCTTACTATTAAGACGTCTTGGTTTAGATTGTTATTATTCGGCATTTATGACTCGAATTCGACTAGTAATTCAAATGAATAACTATAAATATCCGACTGTGAAGCAAAAATCCTTTATTCTTCAAAACGGTTTGATTTGTTCCATTCAGTTATGGTTCCCCACTTATTTTACCTTCAGTTACTCACTATCTCCAGGGTACCTGAATGGTGAATTGGCTTAAGCTTTCCAAATTTTAGTGAGGTTAAAAACGCTACAGGTAATCTAAACCAAATGAGAATGGCAGGGTCTGATGGACTAACCTCTGAGATTTTTAAGGATGATGGTCTAGATTTAGCTAAAATCTGGGAGCTGAAAGTAATCCGATCCCATTGGTTTCGATCGCTGATCATCCCAGTCTATAAAAAAGAACAGAAATCCTCTTGTGATAGTCACAAAGGAATCC